TTGTGAGAGTCCGGCAAATTGCGGAGGTGAGCGTAGGATATGCAATCGGCGTTGGCGTGCTCCGCGCATTTGCGCGTTGGAGAGCGTGGTCGAGCTCTGCCATGCAGAAAGGGCTGTCGATCGCATCGCCATTATCCTTAGTGTAATCTTTGGCGTAGGTATGTTCGGTAAGTATCGAGGTTTGTGGAAAATAAATGTCGGCAGCTTTTTCGGCAAGTTCTGCCGTGCTGATGTTCTGCCCGGGTGCAACTCTTGCCGCCCCGTTCATCGTCTTACGTTGGCCGAAAAGCGAACGCAGAAATCCCCATATCTTAGAGAGATGAGTATGTCCGCTGATCTACTCGCAATTCTGCATCCATTGCTCCGAAGCCAAGTCACTCGTGTAACACTCGATTTCGTTCTGAATATTGCGAAGGCGTCTCTTGTTGCGCCGTGGTTTGCCTTGCCCCTCTTGCGGTATGCAGCTAGAAGGCGAAGCCTGCAGTTCCAACGCTCCAAGAGGTACCGATCAGGGTCTGGGTGATCTTGTGATCCTCGTAGTCCCTTGGTAGCCGCCCTCTTGGCCTCATGGAGTTGCTGGGTTAAAAGCTCGATGCTCGCCTTGGGAGGTTCTTCATCGAGTGCAAGATGGCATTTGTCCCAATGTGTAATGTGACTGATTCGAGCACCGGTATTAATGCGTCGCGTTGCTTTGGAGCCATGCCGAACCCGGACGCAGATTGGGAAGTGGTGGCTACTCAAACAGTCCTCCAACACCGACCACGTGCACATTTTAAATAAGGTCGCCCAAGTGAGATCAGGGCCCGTTTGCTCGAAGCGCTAACCGCGGCTAAATTTAGCCGCAGTACCTAAGAGAGGGATTTTGAAATGACGTGACTGGCTCGGTAGGAATGCGAGGAAACATGGCGGTGCCCCGGTCAGTGAGCGCCGCTCGCTTTGAAACTAATATGTCGTTGTAGCTGCAATATTGGGCGCGTTAGTCAGCAATGAATGGTGCCGGAGGCTTTCGCTTTGCCTTACCTCACTTAAATCACAAAGCATGAACATATGACCTCGCCGCATGTTTTAGATAGTCTTTCGGTTCCGGCCATTCCTAAGCCTAAATGAACGCGATAATTGTCGGCATGGCAACGTCTTTGGAAAGTGGATTGCCTTGACTAAATTGGCCGGGTATTGATAGCACACATAAGCCGACGAGAAAAGAAGTGGCAGTGCGAGCAACGCGAGGAACACGATCCGGACATTCTATCGCTCGGGAGAATTGTTTCGGCATCTCGCAGCAGCGGGGTGCCCGTCCCGTGGCTCTCTTCTCATTCGTTCATGATATAATGTAAAGGGCGCAAAAAACAGGGACGAAAAAAAGAGAACACATAAGACAGACGAGCTTGTCTGTCTTACGTGTCCTCTATTTCTTGTCCTGGTTTTTCTGGTGCTTTATATTTTATCATGATGTGCTACCAACTTAGTCCAACTTTCAACCCTGCTGCTCTTCATCCGTTGTCTGTCCCTTTACCTTTTCGATTTCGGCGGCCGCTTCTCGGGGCGATCTGCCAGGCTTTGTCAGTATGGAGGAGGTTATGGTTAGGATTGGCCAGAGTGGCATGGGGTTAAAGCCGCAGACAAAACTAAAAAAGTGCAGGGAGCCACAGGAGAAAGAAGAGGTGGGGGAATACTTTTAACAAGATACGGTATGGAGTGAACGGTCCTTTCTGAAGTGGACAAATATAATTGTGGACTACAACAAATAACACCAGGCAGCAGAACGTTTCTTCAACCGCTAAACAAAAATTAATGCATCGTTGGAGAGCCAGCCAGTGCCCCTGACGCCCATTATGCGTACACAACCAAACAAAAGGTCAAAAAGCGCTTTTGTTTCCGAACCATGAAATTCAAATAAACTTCGGACATTTGGGCAAGGGGTGTTGCTTAAAGCCACGATGAGTGAGGGGAAGCTCAAAATTAACAAAGTGTGGTGAAATATACGCGGGTATAGAAGTATTAAGACACAAAGTGTTGGACCAAGCAGCGAAAAAGCGGGGTTATATATCGTTTCACCCGCGATGTCAAATCGATACGATCATAGTGGCATAGTTCTGTTTTCGCAGACATTCTAGCTCAAGACTAACCGTTTTATTGAAGCTGTCAGCCGCCAACGACGCATTAAACTCGCGGTGTGGCCACTTTTTGAGGAAAGTTCATGGCCGCTCGATAGGGTGATCTCTTAGGACGAGGCAGCACGCTGGCACCTGGCGCCATTATGATATGACCCTGGAATCGAATTTCACTAGAGCCAAGGTTTTTTGGTATCTGCGAGGTTAAATGCAGGTTCTATTTATGAAAAAACATCAGTTTATAACATCTCAAAAAGGAAGAATGATGCGAGAAAAACAAAACAAAATATACGGAAACGCAAAGTGTTTCACTGCTACCTAATAGATGGCGCCAGTGTATTCCCTCGTCGTTTTAAGGCTCTTGGTCGTAAGCATTCGCAAGCGTATAAAACTGTATTTACAAGTAGCGTCACAAGCAACGTTATTAGATAAAAGTCACTTGACAAGCTTCCAAGAACACATTGCGCCTCTTCGTGGCCGTCCGCTCAGTGGCGCTCGCAACATTATCAGTCCGCCCTACAGACAAAAGCGGCGAAACGGGTAGAACATTGGATGCAGGTCGCCTGCGGTAAAAAGTGATTCTATTGTGGTCATTATGGGGTAAACGTAAAGTTTGCGCAAAGGCTTGCGCTAAAAGTACTTTGTTTGAAAACGGTCATTCTTCGTTACCCGTGGAGATGGTGGCGCTATACTCTGTTCACCCTCACGGCTCTGTTCACCCTTAAAGAGAGAAACAAATAATTTTTTAATTTCTTTCTTCTTAGCTTTCCTCCTGAACTCAAAAGTGATGTGAAAAATCACGCGGTCGTAAAGTGCTTGGGCACCGGCACGATGACTCCAAGCTTCTACCGTCCTTCTTAAGAGGACCGTGAAACTTGTCATTCCCAAACGATGATAAGTGCCGTCACGGCACTCAATAGCCACCAAGGCGAATTTAAATATTTGCCGACGGATTGATTGCTGACGAGCGCATACGTCCGTGTGACGGGATGCTCGTGTTCAACGCGGCTTTCTCGCCCGGCTGGAAAAGCTTTCGTCTCGGGTAGAAACGCACGCATGACGTCGCGTTCACGTGATTTCTCCTGTTGGTGGCCGAGTCCGGTCCAGTCATGGTGGAAAGCAGGCGTGAGTTTTCAATTTTTTCTATGTGCAAAACTGGGGGCAGTACAACAAAAACGGATTTCTCCTCCAGGTTTTATGGACATTGACGATGAGTTGGTGTCTTCATTTGGGAAAAGCTGGAAAATAACTTCGTGGTTCCTTTAAGCTGACACTGCAGTCAGAGCTACAGGCGTGAGCTACTCGCGGTTATGTCTTTGAGACGTCCATTTGCGAGTGCTCGTTCTGCGGAAGAACGATCCAAAGCAGCGATGTCGAGCTCTTATACTCATGGCATCGGCTGCAGTTTCAACTAAAGGGTAAACGAAGTATAGATATTTTACTCAAGGGCGGCGCAATTTCGAAAAACTTACCCTTCCTGTGTAGGCGAAAACATTGTTTTGCCGTCGCCACGCCAATACAATACATTTAGGATATAAGCGTAACCGTCACCCATTCTCGTTTTGCCTCCCGTCTATTTTTTTACTCCTCCCAAGTTGAAGTGTTTTATTCTTTTTTTGTCGCCCATACCCGATATTCCTGTTAGGTGGCTGGGAAGAGAATATACAACAAACGTCTATAGGAACGCCATCCGCCCGTAACTGCTCGCGTTACGGGAAAAATCCTTTTCGAACGACGCTCCTCTGTGGAGCTTGTCAACTGATAAGAAGGTCGACCTAAAGCCTCAGTGCACGAAGTCGGTACCTCGTGCTGCCATTGGAAGCAATGCGCGGGGCTGCACTTGTTCGTAGCAGGCAGAGCCGAATATGTAGGGAGTTTGGTCAATGGGAGGCGCGGGCAGAGCCAGGGCGTGCGCCAGACTCGGAAAGAGGGCTTGGCATGCTCTCTTGACCAACCAGAAGCCGAAAAGAATCCCCTAACGGTGGTAGCGAGAAACAGTTCTGATCGAAGGTCTATGTTCGTATAGGGTTTTAATAAGTGCGTAAGAGTGAAGTGTAGTAACTCTTTGTGGTTGAAAATAGGGTGCACGTGTTGTTTTCATCATGATCAGGCAAAAAGATGTAAGAAACGAATGCGCCGCTCAACTCTGTTTTGCGCGGACAGAGTGTGACCGCTCGGACGGCAGATTCCCGGCCCTCGGCGTTTGGCGTACCGATTATGTCGATTGTTCCGCTAGTCGCACTCTTCCACCATCATTTTGGATGAGCGTGATTGAAACATCACGTGTACCATATTTTCAGCCGTCGAGAGTTATTCCAATGCAGTTATCAGGTTTGTTTCTCGTGACCACCGCGAGGGTATTATTTCCGGCTTCTGGTTGGTCACATTCGAATTTCTGAAGACGCCCTGGAACACGCCCAGCCCGCTTTCGGCCAATGGCGCTTCCTCATTTGTCTCCTATAGTTCCCAACGAATGGCCGAACTCTCTACATATACGGCTCTGGTAGCAGGTGCCTCGTGCCTTCACACAACACTCGTTCTATGCTTGACTCCGTTAGAGTAACAAACAGAAACGACCGACACCGACGAGCCTCAAGCACGTGCACCGTGCACGCAATGAAGCATTTGACATGCTCGCAGTCTCTCGGCGCTGGTGAAGTAAGCACGATTGATTGAAAACCTGCCAGATATATTGACCTGCACGCTGCACGTGCATGAATTATGTCGATGTCAATGTTTCTGGTTGTTGCCCAACTCGGATATAAGAAATTCGAAACGTGAGTTTTATCAGCGGCCTTGTTTGCGTTGTCTCACCGTAAGCGATAAGCCGTTGTAGCGCAGTCTACCTCACTCAGACGCAGATCTATGCGTAAATGAACCTGCATTTACCGTGGCTGGAGACGTCGCCTTCTTCGGCCGCAAGGTGCCTCCGTGTGAACTGGTTGCTCCCGCTCAGGTCTGCCGTCCAGCCGCACAATTCGGGATCTTCAAAGTCGCAAGACAATTCGGGGTTTGCCACCAGCGCTGCCCATGAGGAGAGAAACAAATCGCGAAATCTTAATTCACTTCAACTCAATTTCCTTCCGTATTCTGAGCTCACCAAATGAAATGCAGTCTCATACAGACCCCGCAGTCACACTGGTTATACACCATACAAGGAACGTAGTGTCCATTGCAGATATATTAAAAGAGTTATCTGATGATACGCCTCACACATGTTTCAAGCATGTTTCATTCATACGGATGTAAGCCTCGTTTGTCTAAATATATATATTTTTTTGCGTGATCAATATAACAGGGCCATCAGAAAAAGAAAATTGCCGCCTCAGACATTGTATGCACAATGTCTCTCATATGATGATTTAGCAGCGTGACCGCAGCTTTGTCTGTTTGGGAATCCGTACAAGCAGGAGTGTTTCAACAGGAATTTTCATTGGCCCATAGATGAAAAAAGTGCTTGAAATTATAGAACTTAAGAATTACAATACAGGTTTGACACATTTGGCACTCGATGAGAAGACTTTGAGTAACATTAGGCAAAGCAGTAGAATAACATATAGAGCTAAACTCAGTGTTGCGAAGTATTTTAAGTATATTGTACTTAAATTACTACCTCAAGGTGGTTCATAAGACTTGTGCTATACTTGAAGTACATTCTCTTAATATATTTGTTTCTTAAAGTACCTTTCTCTGATATTTTCCGAGGGAAGTGCAACTCCTGACTTTAAGGTACATTCCTCAAATTTGATTTCGGTAAATTTGTATCACAAAATGATGCTTATTCAACTCTAATGCCATTCGACTTTATACTATATCCGTCGCCCTTACGAAAATAACTGATGCACCCCCATTACCCCTGGGGTAATGCATACCGGTTAAAAAATTAACACTGTATGGGGAAGAAAAGATTGCAATAAAAGTACGTGTACTTTACTTTGACAGTACAGTGTAATTATAGTACTCTACTTCAAGTGTGTTGTGTCCGGTGCACTTACTACTTCATTTGAAGTACGTGATCTGCCATTTACTTCAAGTACTTTTTAGATGTACCTCAAATTCAAATTTATTATCGTCAAAGACATCCGATGGATATATCATGAAGGGGGGGGGGGGTCAACATGAGGTCCGAGGGGGGAGCAATCAAGTAAACATCAACAACATGATACCTGAGGAGGCGGGCAAACCAGTCAGCAAATATTACTTTAAAAATATGACAATAAACATTTAAGGCAAACAAGCACAACACAAATGTTCAGGATACTGCTTATCCAAAAAGGCTTTACACTTAGAGCAGAATTAAAGATGGTTAATGTTTGTTCCCATAAGGTCAGCCAGCGAATTGCAGTCGTCGATGCATAACCAAAGTGGGGAATTTTTGTGCCGATTAGTGCTTGGTTGTAATGGATCAATATTGAGAGGATGATCACGCAGAAGAGATATGTAATCATGAGGATGATAATAAGTCGTTCTTAAATAAGGAAGCTTATTCGACTGGTTATGAAAGAAGCATAGCGGATGCGGTTTTCTACGTGTAGATAAAGCCGAAAGACTGGACTGAAATTTGAGTTGTTACATGCTTGTGAGAGATGCGTAGTTCTGATGAATCAATTGAGCCGCTTTGTTTTGTAAGGATTCGAGACTGTTAGCCAAGTAGGCTTGATGAAGGTTCTAAATTATTCTTCTGCATTCTAACCGTGAGGGAACAAGTGTTTTATATGGTTCGAGTTTAGTAAAAGGTGATGCTTCATATACATTTTCTTCGTAAAAAAACAAGAGTTATCGCTGCATTTTTTAACACGGTCTCATTACGCAAATTTAACCTTAAGATTTTTGTGCTACTTATTCAAATATTACACATTTTCTACGTAGGCGGAGTTTAGTAAATATTTTGAATTAAAGAGACAGACTTTGGAATTAAATGAGATGACATTGTTCTTGGAAAATATTCATCTGCCCTTTTTTGCACCAAGCGGAAAAAAATGTTAGGATTAGATCACAACTGACACAAGTGTCACAAACTTTACTAAAAAATTAACGTAAGTTCTGGAAAATCGTACATCCCAGTGAGCCCCATGTTCTCTCCTGTTTACAAACCAGGCGGGTGGGTGCCTATCTGGCAGTGATGTGGGGTTTATGTTGAGTAACTTTTCTTCATCGGTATTCACGCAGGAGACTTTCCGTCTTCCTATGCTCCCTCAGTCTCAACTAGTTCCCATGTTCCACATTTCATTTACAAGCAAAGGCATTGTCGAAATAATTGATAATATTTCGTCATACTGTGCTGCGATGAAGATGGTTTACGTTACATGTATATTAAAGCCTTGTAAATTGTTCCGCCTCCGCAGATTTTGCTCTTCTGTTCGAGCAAAGTTTAGGCATTGTTTATGCACTGGCACTGTCCCAGCTGATGGAAACTCCGCTAGCGTTCTACCAATTTTTAAATCCGGTATAAACTCTCTGTCCTTCCTTAATAAACACTTCTCTCTCTCCACATCAGGTATAATATCCGACCCCTCTAACTATCGTCCCATTTCCCTTACAAGAGAGCATGCACAATAATGGAACACTTCATTTTTCAGCTATCATGAATCACCTCGACAACAACGATTTTTTTTTCAGATCAACATGACTTCAGAAGAAAACAAAAATTACTCATGTAATATCCAGCTTTTTAAATACTCAAGTGACTTGCACTTTAATGTTCATGCTGGCATCACAGCTGACGTAATTTTCGTCAACTTCATAAATGCTTTTGACACAGTACCACACACTCGTCTCCTCCTAAATACATCGAAGATAAAAAACAATTATTCTGGAGTCGATAGCAGATTTTTTTTCATGTGGCATAACTCAATCAGAAATAATAAATAATACTTGTTTACTTCAAATCCCTGTAACATAAGGTGTCTCACGCGGTAGTGTGAATGGCCTTCTCATTTTCATGGTATATGTAAATGACTTTCCGTCAGGGCTGGGCAGTATCATGATACAAATGAATCGCGATAGTATCATAGAGATATTTTCGACGTATCTAGATATATTTGGAGAATATGTTTGCTTCTCAGTAGTGAAATACATTTACAATGTATTGCATGTATCGCGATACTTTGCCCGACTTGGGCGTCGCGTTACATTTGTTGCCCTTTTTAAGATAAATTTAAAGTATAAAACATCTGTTTGGTGCAACTTGCTTCGGAATTTATATTATGAACCCGCCCTATAAGATGATCCATCTCAGTCACCGACAATAAAAAAAATGTGTTTTAAAGAAGGTTGTTTGCAAGAATAACAAAATCAGCTCCTCTCTCAAAGTCCTCCACTATTTCCAATTTAGCGGAGCGAGCACTGGAAAGGGGTTGAGTGGAGAAAAAGTGCGGCCCTGTTGTCCCATCTCCCTGCACTATGGGTGACTCAGAAGCTTATAATGCGACAGTTTGAGATGCGCCTTCACGGCAAAACAGGGTTCATTTTGGACGAACGCCTTCCGTCAAGCATGGTACGCTGTCTTTACCGTTCTGTAACTATGTGGTTCAACGGGGGTGACATGTTTTCTTTAGCGGCATTAATGATAAATATAGAGTTCGAGGCAATGGGTATGGTGCATAAAATGGCACAAAAAGAGGAGCACAAGTAGAAATTACCTTTCGCATTCGGCGCGAACTGCACCCTCTTCACGTAGCACCGTTCGGGAACAAATGTATTTCTACGAGTATCCATATCTGTACTCTGGAATACTTTTTCGCCGTTATTGAGGAAGTATCTGAGAGATATCCCGTTGCACGTTGCATAAAAGACAAATGTATCTCAGTATCTATATTTTGGCCTTACAACGCATGTATCTCAGTATTTGTATTCCCCAATACTTTTTGGTGTATCTCTGACCAGACCTGCTTTCCATCCTCCTTATTATAAAAAAAAACTAAGTTTTTTTACGGACGACTGCGTCTTATATCTATAACTTAACCTCGACCATAGTCACGCTTCAAAAACAAACCTGGACAAAATACTCACTTGGTGCTTTAAGTGATAGCTCAACATTAATATCAGGAATTGCCGTAACATGAGAATAAAAAAAAATGTCAGAGGTGCTAGCAACCCAATGCAGCCTGCTTTTTCTCAATCTTTACGTGGTCACGTCGTGCAAATACTTAGGCATCTACATTACGCACAACTTTACTTGGGACGAGCACATCAATCATACCTTGCAAAATGTATAAAAAAAAAAAACTTGGGTTTTACGTCGGCAATTGAACCAGACACCCCAGGATACGCGTCTGTTGGCGCATAAAACTATATTTCTTTCAAAACTGGAATACGGAAATATAATCTGGAATTCATAACTACATTACGTGCTCAAAAGTCTAGAAGCGCCACAAAATAAAGCCACCTGATTTTTCTGTGGTAACTACTCCTATAAACCAGGATCACATGTTTAAAACAAAAAAATAGGTTCATCTTATTTTGAGATGCAAAGAATAATATCACGCATGTTTTTTTTTTTTTTTTTTCATTGTGTACATTAGAATAACACCGTTTTTTTAAGAATATCATTCTGCAGACTTGCAGTATACGTTTCAGAAAGAATCAATAACTCACACAAAGTGAAACCATTTTAATCTCGTACGAATTTATTTTTTCATCTTAGCTGGTCTTGTCTATTTCTGAGCTGAACGCTCTACCGGAATATATGGCAACAAAGCAAGTGAGCTAGCATTCAAGAAGAAATTTGATGAGATGCTTTATATTCAAATTTTGACTTAGAATTGTTTCATGCTTTGGTGTATTAAAGAAGATGTACTTCTCATGTTTGTATGAAGGAACACTTTTTTCATGACAGTATCGATTTTTCAATGTATTATTTGTTTTTACAATATAAAATTTAAAAAAAAGACGAGTCCACCTGTATATTGTGTCTGAAGGCAATGCGAAATATAGCTTAATATAAGACATGTTAAAGTGATTTTTGATATTGTGCCAATTATTTTTTATGTGTTTTTTTATTAATTTTTAAAATCCTCGCTCATCTAAAGCGTTCGAAATGATGTCCTTGAGTAAAAAAAAGTAAATGAAATAAAAATGTAGCTCATTACCGTCTTGTGTCACTTCAAAATAAAACGAACGCGTTACGGTTAGTGTTACCGATCAGAAAATACGCATGTTACTTTGGGTTACTTATTTAATTACGAATTGACACGTTTTACAGTTTCGACATTACATGTATGCATAAGTGCCATATATCAAGAAACATTATTTCCACATAGAAACTGATCATATATATAATTATATTATCTTGTTATAGGGTTTCACCTTAACAATCACAAAAAAAGCCATAAAAAACACAGAAAAACTAAACAATTCACATGACTAGACGCCTAGAAACACGAAACAAATTAAAGTGTAATTTTTTTAAAAGTTTTGGGAAGAAAAAAAGAGGTTGAGGTACACCTAAGCATTTCTTATGAGTTGTGAATGCGAAAGCATGCAAGCCGCTCGTCCGCTCCCTTTGTCGTGTGGATGCCTGAGGCCTGGTTCACACGCACAGCTAATCCGCTGCCGCCGAAGCGAAATCGGCCGCGGAAATGCACAGTGGACGCTACGCCCGGCGGCCGAATTCTTGCAGATTCGCCCGCCGATTCGCAAGTGTGAACCAGGCCTAAGGCGGCGCGTTTCGGCGGTGTCCAGACGAGCAGAAGCAGCGCCGACGATATGGTCGCTGGAGGCGGCGCCGGCATGTTTGTCGGCGACGAGACGAGCAGAAGCCGCTGAGCGCGCCCGCCAATATGTCGGCGGTCGGCGAAACTGACGGGCAGCGTTAGTTTCAACGACCGGCCACTCCATGGCGCTGCGTGTACAGCCAATGGGAGTCTGGTCGACCTGCCCCAGCCAACGGGACTGAAGTGCCGTTGGCTAGCTTTGCGCCTGGTTTCGTAGCTGGGAGCTGGTGAGAAGCATTGAGGAGCCGTTTGGCGCGGCTTCAAAGCTGATGATGTCGGCTCGCTCCATGAGACTGTTAATGCTTTCGCATTAAAAGTAACGCGTACAGTCCCGTTGACAGACTTGCGTTTGACTCCGGCTGACTGATACGAAACTTGTTTCAAGCCTCTTAGGACGGCTTAGGACCGGATGCGCAGCAACGCAGCTGGTCGTAAGCCCTAATAAAAGGTTCAAAACCCGGTGCTGTCTCAGTCGGTCGAAGTCAAGCGCAAGTGTGTCAACGGGCCTTAGCATAACTCTGTCACCCGTTACAATAATTAACTTAATTACGTTGCCCGTTACTGTTTTGAAAAAGTAACGATTACGTTACACGTTACAGAAACAAAGTAACGAGTTACCGGTATCGGCGTTACCTGTAACGCGTTACCGCCAACACCGAATGCATCACAAGAAAAAAAGATTAGAATATTTGAGAGGCATTGAGTTGTGTCGTCACAACTTGATTGCAAATATTATTATACGAAAATTGTCTAGAACACTTTCTCAATTCGATTATCTTAAAACTTTTATTAGTCTGGCTGTTTCATCAAAAGTTTTCTTCCGAGACCGCTATCTCTCCTCTCACCACAATACGAGTGGAAACGAGTTCATGCAGTTGTGACTGAGGTACGATAAACAATGGCTCTTCCACTTGTTAATTGTAGAATAAGTCTGAGCTATTCTTTTCATTGTACGAGGGTCTGTCTGGTGGCAATATTTATCAAAGACTTCGTGCACAGTGTGAAATACGTGTTTCATGGCAAAGACGTGTGTTTAAAACCAAAGAAAATTTCAAGGAAGGAAGTACAAGTGTCAGGCCTAGAGAAGGAGCAGGACACCCAACCGCGTCCCCGACTGAGGACGACATTTAGCGTGGACGTGAACCGATAATTTTGGATAACCGAGTCACAGTGGATGATGTAACAGAGCATCTGCAAATCAGCCACGACTTCCCCTCTGAAATGATCCACCACAGGCTGATACGTTGATATTGTTGAATTTCTGGGATGGTTCTTTGCGTCCGCTGGCGTTCACCCTAAGGTAATACGGAACGGTGTGCAGACCTCGGCTTGAAATGAAATGTTTGCGCACACAATAGAAAATATTGCATTAGACGGCTTTTAATATCTTAAGATGCGTGTAGTACTCTCGGAGATGGCAGTGACGTCTTGCTGTAACAGAGCTACAAAAATCAGAAACCCTTTGGTTTCAATAACATAGGCTATTGATTATTTTGAAAGTAATGAATATGGAATCGAATGGTCCCTGGGGAAACATTTACTAATACAATAGTTTTTAGGGGTTCGACTAATAGCGAGGAGAAAATTACTATGTCACGATAATTTTAACGACATTGAATATGTGCCGCGCGAAAGCAAGGTAATTAATAACGCTAAATGCTTTACTGTGTTACCCTCTCTAAAGTGTTACCTGTACAGGCAATGTCGGAAAATGGTGTCACAGAAAAAAAAGTAGTGGATAATCCTAGGGCTACTATTTAGGCTACGCTTAGAGTTTGCATCTGTCCTAAACTTCCCAGTTTTTTTTTAGTTTTTTTTGTACTGGCCGCCATTTTGATGTTTGGTCTAGAGCGGGTGCATTAGCAGAAATAGTTACGATTTGAGAATGCAACTTCATGAGTATTATAAAAAATCTGTCAGGAATTTTATATTGTAGGAGAAGCGCAAAAAGTAAACTCACTCACACTGAAAATACACGCTAATACGCACTGAAAATATTTTTGCCCTTCTCCTACATTATGAATATCCAACTCCAGGAAGCATCCACTCTAAGAAATTTCAGGAAGCTCGGGAAATATCGCTTTGCGCTGTTGCGGATGGTCTAGACATTTCCGGAGAACGGAAAAAGAGTTCCTGCAATTTGAAATAAAGCTTAAGATAATTGGCAACAACGGTCTTAGGCAGCAACCTGGCTCAAGTGTTGGTGAAGCTCAAAAATTGAGTAGTTCCGAAATGACCATTCAAATAAAGAGCTTCTGGCTGGCGCCACCTTCAAAGTTCATACATTTGGCGCGTGTTTCACCATTAACACCCAAAATACAAGGCTTTCAACATCCCCCTCTACGTCATTGGTGGCGGATTCATGCAGCGCCTCCTAGCTTACGTCAGCGTCGCAGCCAGTGCGCCTCGCAACGTCTCACAACAACAGCGACGCTTGCACGCGACGACGTCAAGACGGGCGCGCCTAGAGGCTTGCAGCGACTGTCGTCAAGCCTCGGCGTGTTTGCCGCTTGGGGAGAGTCGGGGATCCATCTAACGGTCGTGTCAGGGGAAGGTCTTGTCTTCTACGTGGTATTGGTGTTATTGGTTTCCGTAATACACCAACACGCGGTTGCTGGGACGTGAAGATCGAACGTTGGGCAATGGATTGGCAAACAATAAAACAGTGTCTAGACACTCACGGACGCATCGGGGTAGCGACGTGTTCCAGCTTCTCCCGTCGCAGAAGGCTTTGCTGCTTCCATTGAGCGCGTAGCCCGCTCGGCACCGGAAGAGCAGCATGACGCCTCGGTTGCGGTAGTTCTCCACGGTACCACGTGACAGCAGATCCCGAGAGGGTATGCGACAGCCGGGCGCTGCGAGAGAAATCACACGTTCATGTTCACACCCCAGGGCACGTTTGCCGCGTGGTTAAAGTAGCAGCGTGAGAGATTTTCAGGTAACGTGACCGGCTCATAGGGCAGGACGTACGGCGTTCCAGCCGGTTTCACCCCGAAGACGCGGGGCTTTGACTGTTGTTTTCATACTTTTCGCTTAACGTGACCTTCACCAAAAATGTCATTAGATGCCACTCGAGAAACACACATGTTTGATTCATTTAGCTTGCATTTCAAACCTGTGAACGCGTGTACTGTAAACAAACTTGGACTCGAATAACCGAAGTGAGGACGTGCTTACGGCAGCCATTTTCCTGAAAAGTTAGGGAGCTTCAGATCTTTGTCACCAAGGAAGCCGGTCACGTGACCTCAAATTCTGCGGATTTTTGTTCCATTGGTGCAGTCCTTAGCGTTAGCACCTTGAGATGATAGACCATTTTCAAAAGTCAGTATACCCACCCTGTCTTAATCCAAACCCGACGTTATAATGGCGGCGTTATTGAACCTCGAAATGACAGGAAAAGCGATCGTCTTCGAAGTCATAAAGCAGAAAACGAGGATTCTATTCTATGTTACTACTTTTATGTCAACTTTGATACACGAAGGTGAGCTCGTTCTTTGAACTCCACATTAAACCGGATCTATTAGTGCTTCCTAAAATAGAGCTAGATGGCTAAAACGTTTGAAAGGCGCCTATTGACCGCCCTTCGTCCTGTTCCTTTGAGGAGTGGAACCCGGTGCTAGACATAGCGTGTTCCAAGTAATAGAGAGGTTTCGTAGACCGCGCTGGCCGCTCCGCTAAGCCCTCCGCGAGAAAGGAGCTACCACTGCGCCTGCGCGTCGATGGCCTTGGCTGTGAAGTTACGGGTATCGTAGCGGGTTGCGGAGAGCGTTGCGGGACAGTGGAAACGATCTGCGAAAACTCCCTGATGTCGCTATTTATAACGCATTACGTTTCGCTATTACCGTATGACATACTCGTCAGATTCTTAATGGCCAACGAGTACGGTAATTTAATTACGGTTTTAGGGTATAATTTGTGAAATTACGGTATTTAGTATTCGGCAATTTTTAATTATATATTTAAATATATGTATTTTTAGATAAAAACATTATTTCTGTTCTGTAAGTGGTGACGACAAAAGGGAAATAATACATATTTTTACGGAGCCCCATATAGATATCCTTCACTGAAAAGCACGGTTGAGCCAATCATAATTTTGGAAGAGGAAACAAATGGTATGGCCTTTTGAATAAAAAAAATAAAATATATTATACGAAATCACACAGCCAAATATTTCTTGATAGCAATGTTCGTATTCGTGACTTATCGAAGCCAACTAACACTGAAACCTAAAGTGTAGCCAAGATATTCGGGACTTACAAGAAACCGTATACGTGTTGCGCGTCCCGTACAGCCGGAACCTTTGAAGCATGATCTTAAGCGTGCGCCCCACGGTCGCGCCATCACCCGTGGGCATGCTTCAAAACATGCTCCAAAGACTCTGCTATTGCAGTACGCGAAATACGGTAACTGTTTGCTAAAAGTATATCATAAGATGTATAGGGTGATTTCAGATAAGATCGACCAAAGGATGGCTAGTCGACATTTTCAAATCAACTGATGTTTTTATATGTTATTGTCTAGTGTCTGGTATGAACGAATCCAAACTTAGTTTTGACTAGAAAAAATACTTGGGGACAGGAAAAATCGTAAGGCATGAGGTGGTGGAGAGTTGCATTAACGCGCACTGATGGAGGGGGCCCGTTTGAGAGTGAATAACTAAAGCGATAACATTAGGAGAACTCTAATACGTTTTAGGCGCAAACTATGGGTATAGCTTGCTTGTAATATAAAGTAATCATATTTATTTAAAATTTATTTATATTTCTAAAAATTGACAAACATGCCTGCTCGAACGACAAATGGCAAACTTTGGAGGTCTGTATCTCATGAAATAATTTAATCATTATGATATAATTTGCAGATATTATTCTACTAATATATAGCTAATATTTAAAAAATAACTAAGGTATCTGTGTGATACAATAGTTAGGATATATTTAGTCAAACATGGAAAAAAAATCAAACAAAGAAAAATTCCGATGCGAATAAAAAAAAACACCACCCTCGATTTTTTTTTAATTTAGGTAACCTGTTATACTCTATTTCGGCATTCATTTCCAATAAAAACATGTTGCATCATTTTATTGAGAAAGAAGATACAACTCCCCAAAGTAGGGTCCTTTTTCAAAGCCTACACTTAGCAGTGTTTTATACAAGAACTGACTCTGAGTTCCAGTTTCATGAAACCAACACACATCTTTTATATATTTTTATTCAGATGAGGCCAATGATAACTAAAGAAATCGTTCACACACTTAAATTAAGGAGAAACTACTGTGTACAAAGAGGTATCATATTACGGACTAGTGATCCGAGAAAAGATCATGCAGCCATCGGCCACTAGGAACTTTGTTTACTTTATTCTCCTGCGACACTATTTGCTATTCCCTCTTCCGCTCTACCTTCATCTCTCTCTCTCTCTCTCTCTCATATATATCCCTGATATATATCGAGAACAAAAACATGTTCAAGCATTCCCTTTCTGCGTGGTAGTGTTCTGTGGCTAGCAAAAATCATTTCCTCGCTAAGCTCACGATTATGGCAAAATAGTTGCCGGAAACCGCAGACGACACTCGTCGCTAGTTCTGGCAAAACGGCCGATACAATCTTTTTTTCGCATTTCCCCACTCGCTGTCAAGGACAAGGGGGTTCGCTTCAACCAGCAAAACATGGCCGCCGACGCCTGTTTACTGAGCAGTCATGCCTGTCGCCATCTCACTCGCTGGCGTCACGGGCGATAATATCGGGCACAGAGGGGCACACCAACCGGCAGCATTATCCCCAAATACTCGAGCCTCGCGTAAATACATAGGGTGTAAACGCTGTCGCCATGTTATCGTAGTAAGACCGCCCCCCCCCCCCCCCCCTCCCCCAACGGGGGACTGCAGTACGCGACGGCGTACTAACCAGTGTTGCGGAATGGGCACCCCCATTCCATTCCAATTCCATTCGGGGGATTAGAGTTTTCGATAATTCCATTCCTTTCAACTCCTAGGAATGGGGACACTGGGCCCATTCCCACTCCTGGAATGGCTGAGTCGCTCCATTCCATTCCTCCAATTCCTCAACGTTAAAAGTGTCACTTGACAGCTGCATTACGTTGCAGGGTTGGGCAGAAATATTCAGAAATGTATTTGGAAATACAAATACTGGGATAGATGAAAATAGTTGCTAAGATACTGATACTCAAGTCTCAAATATATCTATAAATTTGTATCGTGATACGTATTGGAAATTCATTTTAAAAAGAGCAAAAAGTGTTTGGAAATACAAATACAAGAATACATTTTAGGGAGGGCAGAAATATAAATACTGATAATACAATAAATTTTTCAAATTTCTTTGAGAAGCCAACTGAGATGAAGCTTTAAGTTTAAGGTGGAAGTTTTTTTGTTTTTTTTTCTTGGTCCCGAAATTACTTTCCCGCAGGCTTGGCACTTCGCCTTGAAGGTAGTGGTTCCGGACGAAGAGTCCTATATGGGTTTACAAAAACGTTCCATCAAGGATTGACTTCGGTCCCTTTCCTGGCATGTTGTCTGACTGACCAGTGATGCGAAAAGACTTCGACCTCTAAAATAAATTTTATCAAACAATCACCACTTCCCTGTCCAATAAGGGCGCCCCTGTCAGCACTACATGACGTCACGGTGGGATGAACCAGTACTCTTGAATCTGTAGGTGTTGCCTTGAACATGAAACTTTACCCACGCTGCTGTATGAATGTTGTAAAATAAGATGAAAACGTGGAGATGCCCGAGCCGGGAAGAGGGAAGGAAGAGCGACTTCGAAGACGAGCAGAAACCGAGGCACCAGCCCCTTTCCGGGAAACCGGGGAGAGGGACGGAGAGCCGCGGGAAGAGCGCGCCCCACCGTGGGGTTATAAACGACGACCCCCCCTCTTGGACCGACGCCTGGTGGGGGCGACTGCTCCCTTCTTGTTGGAACGACAGTCGAAGGAGGACGTGCCTTCTCTAACTTTGCTTAAATTAGTTTTCAATATCAATAAGCCATGTTCTGTTATTCTAAAAACCAACGAGTCCTTTCCCTAATTCCACACTGTTAAAAAGTTGGTGCCGAAACCCGGGATGAAGGAAATTAGGACATGACTTCACCGCAGGACATTCAACGTCAGAAAACAGAAAACAACGAACGAGAAGAAGGCAGGAGCCATCTTGTATAGCCATCTTGGATTCACCAACGGCTCAGGCAACGAGAAGAAGGCAGGAGCCTTCTTGGATTTGCCAACGGCTGAGGAAACGAGCTCCGGATCATGGAACGACTCAAGGGGAAACGAACTGCACTGCGAACGCAGGTGACCAAACTCCTTTCTGAAATTGATTCGTACATCGAAAGCAATGAGAAAAACGAAAAGAACCTCAGCATCTCCTCTGCAAGGCTTGGCGCCCTCCAAGCATAACTGAACGAGGTGGACGCCGCGATCGAGCCACTAGTGCCGAAAGGAGAAGCCGAGCAAAACTTTGTGCGAACAATTGAATACAATGATCGGGTCGTCACCTGTATTGCAACACTTCAAGAAGAGTTGAAGGAAGTCCGAGCAAGTGCACCACGAAATTTAAATTCATCGCCGATGAGCAACAACGGAAACGCGACAACGACCGCCTGCCAAGTGAAGCTCCCGAAGCTCGAGCTACACAAGTTCGACGGCAAAAGCATCTCTTGGCAAGAGTTCTGGGAGCAGTTCGAGCAAGTAATACATACCAACGACCAGCTAACGACTTTGGACAAGTTCGGGTACCTCAGGGCTGCGGTGACCGGCGAGGCGTCAGGTGCCATCAAGGGTTTGCCTCCCACATCACGGTGCTACGAGGACGCCGTGCTTCTGCTGAAGAAA